CCTCAACAAAGTGCAGCGTGGGGAGGGGGATATTACATATACGAGCTTTATTTGGAGAAGAATACTCATCCATGCTGGAAATAAAAGTAAATAATACCCTCCCAATAGCCATTTGCTTATTAGATAAAGACTGTGTATGATTCAAGCTTAAAATTTGCATGCTAATATGAAGTACCCAGATATCTGAAACATCGCTGAAGGCTTTTAGACCTTTACTTTAGAACTTTACTGGAGAGTCAAGGGTAACAATGAGATAATCACTTTGGTATTCGGGTATGAGAAACGGATGGTGAAACCAAATCCAGTCCGACTTAAACGATAGCCTTAGGCGAAGAACTAGGTCCAATTGTGCTGTCTCTGCTAGAAGCTGTTTTCCATTTGACATGTAAGTTCTTCCCTGCAAGCTTTGGCACATGAAGTATTCGGTAAGGAACAAAATTTAAAAATGAAAATGAAAAAAACTACATGTTAAAAGCATAAAGCCGTGTGTGTAGTCTATAACTAATACCTTGTTTTTATGTATATTGTCTGAACAGAAAGACAGTATGAATCAGTCTAGATCTAGGTCAGATGGTGGTGGTGAGGAAACCTCATTTCAAGACCATCGTCATCGTGAGAATGAGAGAATTTGGCAGCAAGAGCGTCTCCACAGAGAAGAAGCCTATTATCAGTTCATTAATGAACTCAGTGACGAAGATTACCGGCTGATGAGAGACCATAATCTTTTAGGCACCCCTGGTAAGAAATGGGCGAAAGAGGAGACCCCTTTTTCATCATTATAAGGAGGAATTTCACAATAAGGAGTTTTTACCCCCTTCTCCTCGCTCCCAAAATAGGGCGTACTGTTTCTGTGGCTAAGGGCTTTTTGACATAAAATAGAAAATCACTGGCTTGCTTCTGTATTTTATAAGTAGGTAAGAATATCAGACACGGAGCAGTTATACTGACAGATTAATGTACATAGTAGCGTCAGATACTTACAGAGATGCTCCTAATTCTCTTAAGCGATATTCGTACAAATAAAAACATAGTAGTCCCCCCCACGCAGTTTCACTTTTCCGCGGTTTCAGTTACTCATGGTAATAAATTTCATGCCATTCTGAGTACCATGATGAAATCTCGCGCCTTCCTGCCCTGGACTTGAATCATCCCTTTGTCCAGTGTCTCCGGACTGCATGCACTGCCCACCCGCCAGTCACTGAGTCTCTGTTACCAGATGGCCCATGGCATCGCAGTGCTTATGTGCGGTAACCCTTATTTCACTTGATAATGGCCCCAAAGCCATTCCATTCACGTAACTTTTATTAATATATACTGCTATACTTGTTCTATTTTATTATTATTGCCATTAAGTTAATCTTTCACTGCGCCTAATTTGTAAATTAAACTATCATAGGTGTGTGCGTATAGGAAAATACATAGCATACATAGGGTTCAATACTGTCAGTTTCAGGCATCCACTAAGGATCTTGGAACATATTCCCTGCAGATAAGGGGAGACGGCTGTATTTAAAACCCATTTGTATCATTCGAGGTATAATAATTTAGCTGAATTAATAACTCCCCTAAAGTTCAGTGTGCTCCATAAATTTTTTACAAATTGAGTTCACAGATGAATTCAGTGAAACTTATGTGTCTTATATTAATATATTTGTATATTGCATATTTTATATTGATGACCTATATCATGAGTTATTTGGGTCATCGGTATAAAATTCAAGTCAATAAAGATTTGATGTTTTCTCTAGGAATACTCCCTTCTTAATTTCTTTTTAACTAAGAGAAAAATCCATGAATTATAACTTAGGGGTTCCTAAGTATATCAACCGAGAGTCCTTTATTAATTATTCGAATTAAATCATAATTGTATAAAACATTAATAAATGAAACACAACCAAAATGATGTGTATTTACATCATTTAAATGTATTTAACTGTCTTCAATTTACAGAACGTGAAAAGGATAGAATGTCTCCTACAGATTGCTAAAGATTAGCCTTTCCATTCATGAGTCATAATAACACTTAGTAATTTAAAGTTTTTACTTTCAGTGAGCAATTTTTCATTATTTTAGGAGAAATAACATCCGAAGAACTGCAACGGCGGTTAGATGGAGTCAAGGAGCAACTCGCGTCTCAGCCTGACTTGAGAAATGTGACAAACCCCAGAGGTACTGCGGACTCCTTTTCTTAAGGAACAGGTTTGGTGGGAGCGATTGCAGAAGTGAACGTACCGGATCTTGTACAACATGTTTGTAATGTTTTCCAGTTTCGATTTACGACTCAGATAGCTCACGTAGTCTGCGCAAAGCGGTGTAATCAGGCAGTGTAGGATGGGGGCTGCCAGCGCTCACAGGTAGCCTTCAGGGAGCTCGCGGGTGAACCAGCATATCATCGAGTTAGTCACCAGCATAGTTCTTTTTGATCTCAGAATGGACACACTATTTGTTGTAAAGTCATATGACTAAACCTAGCTTCTAAAAATTTATGCAGAGCAATACAGAAAGACCGAGTCAAGAAACGTGTTTGTTGCTTTGTTTTGCCCTTTTTGTATTCGCTTTGTCATTTTATTGAACGAACACTAAGTTTTAAGAAGTTCTCATAAAAAACAAAAGTACTTGTGGAAAGAATTCCAACTGGATGAGAAATGTAGAGAGTTAAAAATAAAGCCAACCTGAATGTCTTCTTACCGGTTCGTTCCTCCCCCAGAGGTACTCATTACTAGTAGCTTCACATAGAATAGCAAGGTCATTGAATTAGTGAGGGCAAAGACTGTTAAAACCCCAAAAGGCAATGGCACAGTAAGATAGAAGTTTATTTTTCTTTCATGTCAACAGTCCAGGGCAGATAGGCAAACTTTGCTCCGGAAACCCTGGTGGAACCCCGTCAGCCAGCCGAGGCTCCTCAGCCGTGCTATCCAGTACAGTGGCTACTAGCTACATGGGACTATTGAACTTCGAATTAAATAGATTGAAAATGCAGTTCCTCAGTCACGTTAGCCACATTTAAGTGCTGAGTAGTCACACGTGGCCAGTGGCTTCTGCATTGGACAGGGCAGAGGTAGAGAGTTTTACTGGACGCTGCTGCTCCACGGTGCTCCACGTGATCTAGCTAAGTCAAAACTGTATCTAGGTTCCAGCTGGCGGGAAGGCGATCCAGGCATCAGCCCGAAAGTGTGAGATCCCACTTCTGCTCCCATTTCATTGATGAGAACTTGGCCATGTGGCTGGGCCTTAGCTGCCAGGCTGCCCACGTGACCATCACACCGCATTTACAGCGAGAGAAGTGTGGGTTAGATTTTCTTAAACAGTGAATTCCGAGACACGCCCCTTTATCACCACATCCGTAATTAGAGAAGAAAGTGGCATTTAGAATGATTAATGTTTACCTGTCTTTTACTCATGTCTTTTTCTAAATTAAAGTGGAAATTAGGTATTAACCTTTTTTCTACTTTATGTTTAGATATGTAAATTGTTCATATTGGTACAACTGGTAATACTGGTCCTTCGTTTTAATCGATAACGTACTCATCACGTGAAAAATAGCTTATATCATTAGAATATGGCTAAAGTTGCTGTTTAAGACACTAGCAGCTGATTGACAGCTCTAGCGTCAACTTTTTTAAAAGTTTTTTTATGAGAGCGTGCAGTCTTGAAATGAAACCAAAGCAATCTCGTTTTTCAGTGGAACAAACTTTAAGGTTGAAGTCTGTAGAATCTGTGCGGTGCATTAGAATGCTTTTCATTCTGTTTTGCACTCATATAATCCACTGACTGAAAATGGAAAACTTCGGTTTCCCGCAGTAGCAGAGTCAGAGAAGTTTATTGGGACGTGTTTATTTCTGAATCGAGTCATTCGACCAGATTAATTGACAGTCTGTACCAGATGCCGTCGTAGAGGTTGGGGATTTAACAGTGAATAAAATAAGACAAAACCCTTAGTCTTCATGGAACTTATGTTCTAAATGAACAGAAAATGAATTTTGCTATATATAGTAGCTAACATTTACTGAGCGCTTCCTATGTGCCAGGTATTGTACTAATCATTTTATATACGGTATCTTTTTTTATCCTCATGATAACTCTGTGACATTTATACTACTGTTATCTCCCTTTTACAGATGAGGATTCAGCTATGGAGAACTTAAATAACGTGCCTAAAGTTTCCCAGTTTCACATAAGGACAGATATTGTAGTTCTAACATTGTATTCAGAAAGCCAGATTTCTTGAGATGTACATTTTTGACAATTCCTGAGAAACAGGTTACGAAAATCTCTAGCTGTAAAAATGTTGATCGAATTACCTTTATCAGAAGGATTCCACAGATTTGAGATGAATTATATATAAGTTTTGCCACTGTAGTTTGTTGATATTGCCATATGAATAAAGCAATTTAAATCTATACTTTCGGTACTAGAAACATTTCTCGTTTGCCTCAACGTTTTGCCAATAACAGGCAGATAAAAAGCAAGAGTGAGGATTTCTTCCCAGCTTTGCATAAATAATACTGAAAGTTTTGTAATAGATAGGTCTGTGTGAAATTTTATAATACATAGGTGTACAATATGCTTATCATATACACCTTTCTTTTAGAAAGTGCAGCTTTTTCCCATTTTTCCCCATTTTTCATTCATTCAAATGCACGTGTGTTCTTAAATATAATTTAATAAAAACTTTATCTTACAAGCTTTCAATAAAATCTAAGAATAGATTTTAAGACTTGATCCTAAGTCGATTCGGTTTGCTTTCCAGACTCAGAAGTCCCTCGGGAAGGCCCCCATGAAGATTCTCTGCTGGAGTGGCTGAACACCTTCCGTCGCACGGGAAATGCAGTTCGAAGTGGACAGCACGGGAACCAGACTTGGAGAGCCGTGAGTCGGACAAACCCAAGCAGTGGAGAGTTTCGGTTTAGTCTGGAAATCCACATAAATCATGAGAACAGAGGATTTGAAATTCATGGGGAAGATTATACAGGCATTCCACTTTCGGATATCAACAGAGATCAGACGACAACGAGGCAGCAAAGGTCAAGTAGCCCTGTGGCCAGGCGGACCAGAAGCCAGACCTCAGTGAATTTTGGTGGCAGCAGTTCCAACACCTCCAGGACTAGGCTAGGCTCAAGGGGGCGCAATTCAGTAGCAGGATCTTTCTCAGCATCGGAAAGATCAAGAAGTGGAACCGGGGGAGCAGGGGGCGTTCCTAGAACTAGTGCTCCCCGCGCCGATTTCAGTGGTCACACACACCAGTCGGGTGGCGGTGACCTCAGGCGCAGGGAGGGCCAGCGATTCGGAGCAGCACACGTGTGGGAAAATGGGGCTAGAACTAACGTCACGGTGAGGAATACAAACCAAAGATTAGAGCCAATCCGGCTGCGGTCTACGTCCGGTAGCCGAAGCCGGTCGCCGCTCCAGAGACCAAGTGCCACCACCGTCTACCGTAATTCCCAGAGGGAAGGCAGACCTGCTCAGCCAGCCGTGCGCAGGTCTGTGAGGAGAGGTCCAGCTCGTGTCATTTTAGAACAAGATAGAGCACGCAGAGGTGCAGCATACGCCCCGTTCCCCAACTCCAGACTGGTGTCCAGAATAACAGTAGAAGAAGGGGAAGAATCCAGCAGGTCCTCGAATGCTGCGCGACATCCAACAATCACACTGGACCTGCAAGTGAGAAGGATTCGTCCTGGAGAAAACAGGGATCGGGACAGCATCGCGAACAGAACTCGCTCCCGGGTGGGGCTGGCGGAGAACACCGTCACCATCCAAAGCAACAGCGGGGGCTTCCGCCGCACCATCTCTCACTTGGAGCGGTCGGGGATTCGAACCTACGTCAGCACCATCACCGTTCCTCTTCGCAGGATATCTGAGAACGAGCTCGTGGAACCCTCGTCCGTGGCCCTTCGGTCGATTTTAAGGCAGATCATGACCGGATTTGGAGAGCTGAGTTCCCTAATGGAGGCCGAATCCGAGTCGGAGGTTCAGAGAAACGGCCAGCATTTGCCAGAGATGCACTCAGAACGGGGGAACCTGGGTGCAGGCGGTGACATCGGCCAGCACCGTGAAGGTTCCTCCCAGGGCAGGTGGGCCCAAGAAGACAGCACTGAGCGGGGCGGTGAACACGAGGCCGCCCAGCCTCACCCCCGAAACGGCGGCAGGCCGTCGCGAAATTCCAGTAACCTCGTAGAGACTGGAACGCTCCCCATTCTCCGCCTTGCTCACTTCTTTTTGCTAAATGAAGGCGATGACGAGGATCACGTACGTGGTTTAACCAAAGAGCAGATCGACAATCTGTCCACCCGCAACTACGAGCACGACGCGGCTGACGGCGACCTCGGTAAGATCTGCAGCGTCTGCATCAGCGACTACGTGGCCGGAAACAAGCTCAGGCGCTTACCCTGCATGCACGAGTTTCACATCCACTGCATTGACCGGTGGCTCTCCGAGAACTGCACGTGTCCCGTCTGTCGGCAGCCTGTCTTAGGGTCCGGCGGAGCGCCCGACGGGTAAAATGATGGGATCTGTGCAAACGTCGCATCTTAGGAGAGCTGAGTCTTCAGGCGTTCTTTCGTGGAGTTGCTGGCGATGAGCTAAGCAGAATGAAAAAAGAACAGATTATTATAGTTGGAACTATTTTTTGTGTGCTATTTTTAACTTGTTAAAAAGAGAGAAATTTATGTGAGATTTAAAATGCAGGTGTTAAATTATCCAAAAGTACAGAATAGTTAATATTGCTAGAACCAAATAACCCTTAAGATGTTTTTATTTTGGTAATTTGTCATGCTAAGCACTTTTGTATACACTGCACAGCTCAGTAGGTTAAAAATCAATCTTCCTTTTCTTAATAGTACACCTGACTTGCCTTGGAATTTCAAATTCCAGAGGCTCAGTACTATGTCCAGACATTGGTGTCTAAGCCAGCCTTTCATTAACTCTCTCTTTTAAGGACAGTATCTTCTCATGAAAGAGTGGCTGACTGTTTGCGAAATGTATTTAAGTTACTTGAAATGTTAAATTTAATATGCAACATACCATATATGTATATATAGATATATAGTTTTAAGGTTAACAAATTCCGTCTAAAAACTACCAGTTGGGTTCTTATTTAAGCTTTTAGGCTAATACTGCATAAGGCACAATGTTTAATATTTACAGGATCATCTCTGGGAGGAAGTGCATTAAGATAATTTAAAAATAGAGGTAATTTACTGAAGCGTCTCTGACAATCTGACTTACTAGACAATAAGCAATATATAATATTGAACAAGTATTTCTTTATTCAGAAATGGAACATGGACATTTTAGAACATACAGGTTACTTAACTTGAGTTCAACTTTTTTGTGACTTTTTTGAAAGTGCAAACAATTCTTTGGATTATATTAAGTAAAATACACGATATGCATGGATTCTGAGATTTAATTTTAAAGTCTAAAAAAATATCTATAAAGAATCAAATGCATAGGTAGTATGTTAAGTTCACTGGGAGGCCAAAAACTCCAAATAAAATGAAACAAAATACACTTAAAAGAATGTAGAATTTATACGAACATGAAATATGCATTGAAGATCTATTTCTACCAATAAATATTAAAACAAAGCTGTATGTGAACTATTCTTTTCTGTCATTCCACTGTGGTTTATTCACTCAAAAAAAAAATTTAGTTCACACCTGCTAGGGGCCTGGCAGTGTTACAGATGTTGAGAATTCAGCTGCAGAGTCTTCACAGGAAAGACATATTTATTCTTAGAAATTGAAAATCGATTGATAAAATGAACTACTGTTCTGACTCTGATGTGTGTTTATGAATACGTGACACAGTTTCTCTGTGGCGATACTGCCTGGGCAACCACCACAAGGCCAGATTCTGCGAGATTTAGATCTAACATTTCGTTTTTCTTTATGATTTGCGATCATATTCAATTCATTAGGTGAGACGCTCGCACAGGGCGCGCGTTTTGCACCTAGGGTGAAAGGGTTTAGTGAAGTCGTGACCTCGTTCGGGGTAAATGGCTTATGTAGGCCGGTCATGGGACGGACGTAGGACTGAGCAGTTTGATTTGAGACCTTCAAAGAGCACACTAAGGAATTTTCACAATACCTTACAGAATCGGGCTGTCTTGATGACTTTTAGTGGTGAACGGTAAGATCGTTTTTCGTCTTTCAGGAAAATGGGCGTGTTCAGAACACGGCAGACGAGAGCATCGAAGGTGGGGAGCGGTAAAGGAAGGATTGTGATCATTTTTATCATCAGTTATCATTAGCATCATATCAGTTCTTACATAGCCTGAAGGGATGGTAATGAAACTTGTAAAAATGCTCCTACGTAACCATAATCTGTCTCCCGTGCAATTCCAAACGTTTTCACATTCTCCCCAATGGGAGACGATCCAAATTCACTTACAGCTTCTGTACTGCAAAGTGACACGATTTCACCACTCGAGTTCGGGCTCCCTGGAGGGCGTCCATCCCTCCTTGGGCTTGGACTCGATCAGCTTTCATTGCGACGCCTCCCCGTCCAGCCTCCGGGATAAATGATAAATGTAACTTCCATTCCCCTGGGAGAGTGAAGTGGAAAAAAGACCAAACTAGAAAGGGGGAGAGGAGGTGTCATCGATGACACCGATTACTCTGACCCTATGTGTTCATTGTCAAAGACGTTAACTGTGGGTCTTACAAAGCTGATGACTCAAGCCCAATTCTAACCTATATATTTAGGGCAAATGTTCTGAGCCACAGCTACTTGCCTCTGTAGGGCTTTGGGGAATTTTGAGCTGATTCATCCCTCTGCTCCAGGGACTCAGTACAGTTCCAGAGCTGGTTTGGGAGGGCTCAGGCCCCAGATCTGCAGCTTTCTGTTACTAATGAGCATTGGTCTCTGTTTACTTCCGCATAATTTTAACAGCTTCTGTAAGAGGGGTGCAGGTTTCAGATCAGAGATGATGACAGGTGCAAGGAAGATGTCATTCAGGCATTCCTCATTATCATCCAGATGAATAGATACCTTAAGGTTATATTTCTTACTCCCATATTAGAATGAATACCTTAAACAACAAAGCGGGCATGTCCAACCTGTTATATTTAAGCACCAAATACAGACTCATAGAATTTCAGGCCCAGAAGAAGATGGACAGTCTTCTGAGTACATCGTCCGGGCCCTCAAGAACCTGCACTGAACATTTCCCACTCAGTTAGTTGCCAGGCCTGCTTTTAAAGACAAAAGGTGTTACTTTTTACACACTCAATATAATGTCAGTTGGGTCTCTGAGCGGCGGACACCAAGACAGGATTATACGTATGACAGATTCATTGGGGAAACACCTGGGAAGGATAAAGGGGAAAGGAGCAGGACGAGGAGACCCTCCGGGTTACGATGCAGGTCTGACATCCGAGAAGAGCGGGAGGAGGAGGCTGGAGCAGGAGAAGCTGCAGACCGCGGCGGAGCTCAGGCTGTCACCGGCCAGGGCGGCCGGGAATGGAGGCTGCCGCTCGGTTCTGGTCCCCGCCGTAGGCCCCTCAAGTGGCACACCC